TGTGTGCATGGACTCAGCAGTCTTTGTGTGTGTGTATATCTGTGTATGGACATAGCAGTCTGTGTGTGTGTGTGTGTGTGTGTGTGTATTTACTCAGCAGTCTGTGAGTATGGACTCGGCAGTCTGTGTGTGTGTGTGTGTGTGTGCATGGACTCAGCAGTCTGTGTGTGTGTGTATATCTGTGTATGGACATAGCAGTCTGTGTGTGTGTATGGACTCAGCAATCTGTGTGTGTGTGCATGGACTCAGCAGTCTGTGTGTGTGTGTGTGTATTTACTCATCAGTCTGTGAGTGTGTATGGACTCAGCAGTCTGTGTGTGTTTGTGCATGGACTCAGCAGTGTGTGTCTGTGTGTGTGTTTGTGTATGGACTTAGCATTCTGTGTGTGTATGGACTCAGCAGTCTATCAATAATTAAAATTCCTGTGAGTTGTTGTGTAGGAAGGGCCCCAGTGCATTGCTTTGCCCGCGGGCCCTTAACTCTGTTAAAATGGTACTGCATGTGTGTGTCAGTGAGCTTCTATTTAGTGAGCATGTGTGTGTCAGTGAGCTTGTCTTTAGCGAGCTTATGTGTGAGCTTTAGTGAGCTTTGTAGTGAGTCTTCTGTTTATACAAGTGAGTTTGTCTGTAGTAAGCTTGTGTGTGTCAGAGATTTTTGTCTGTCAGTAAGCCTATTTGCGCATGTCAGTGAGCTTGTGTGCTTACTGTACTATATATATATATATATATATATATATATATATATTGACTTGTAGGAATGGCACCGCTGAATCATCTGTGTGAGCTGCTGCACACTTTAGCCCTGTTACACGCGTCTGGGAGCTGCTGTTGACAGGTATTAGTAGTCTAGAGATTGGGACATGGGGTATATGCTCAGCTATCTGTATAATACAGATCTGTGTGTATATAATATCCCGGGATAGTCAGTGCTTCCTGTATAGTGTTACTCTCTGCATAATACAGGCCTGTGCCTGTATAATATCCAGAGACAGTCAGTGCTCCCTGTATAGTGCTGCTCTCTTGGGATATTATACACAAACAGACCTGTATTATACAGAGAACAGCACTATACAGGGAGCACTGAGTGTCCCAATTTATTATACACACAACCCTGTATTATACAGAGAGCACAGACTGTCCAGGGATATTATACCCAGACAGTAATTTATAGCTGTGCTGCAAAATGTCCTTGGAATTTGTTTTCAAATGTTGGCAACTATGGCACTGTATCAAGGGAAATGTGTTTGTTTTTTAATAATCCCTGGTGGAAAATAATGAATCCTCCACCAGCGGGGCTTAACATGCGACAGGGGCGGGGTCAAACTTTGGCGAGGGCGGGGTTAAATGTGCCCCCCTACTTTTGTCCCTGGCCCTCCATGTGCCCCACCTAAAAATGAATCCTAGAGACGCCACTGCCCACGGTTAGGCCTTCACATCTAGTAATGGCTCACTGCTGCAAGTTCAACAACACATCCACCAAAGAAGAAAAGGAAGCAACAGAGTGTAACATAGTTCACCATGATAGCACATGTCTGCTGGCGTCTGCTCAATAGCACAGCCAAGAAAGAACAGAGAGGAATGGAGATAGGGGGAAGTGGTTATCTCTCTCCTGACTTGTACCCAATTACTATATCAAAGGGCATGGGCGTAGGAACCCCAAACAATATGGGGGGGATAGCATTTTTACTCGCCGGGTGTATTCTTATTCCGTAAATTAGGAGTTGTTTATCCCATTGTACAGTGCTACGGATTTTGCAGTTGCTATATAAATGATTAAATAATAGCATTAAAGGGTCACTACAGGGAAGGGATTTTACTTACCCGGATACAGCGCCGGGATCCTCCTGATGCCGCGCCCCCTATTTCGTCAAAATGACGAAATAGGAGGGTGCGAGCAGGGAGCAATAAAATGCTTCTATTCAGATACTTCATAGGACGGCATTCATGTCTCGACTAGGAAGCACCTCTAGTGGCCATCCTCAGCAGTAATGTAAATACTGCCTTTTTACAAAATGGCAGTGCTTACATTAAAAAGCCTGCAAAGACATGCTACAGACACCAGAACTACTACGTTTAGCTGTTGTGGTTCTGGTGACTATAGTGTCCCTTGAATATAGAGAGGAAAAAAGAATCATCACAAATGTAAGAAATAAAATGTCTGTATCATTATTCTAAAAATTATTTTTAAAAAATATGCATATTCCTAGCTTAATTTTTAGCACGACATATGACACAAACATGTTGTACTTTGCAGATTACTTTTTATATTTTTTTTATACATATACAGATTGTGTAATACTGCCCCTGACTTAGGGTGACCACATTTCCTAACTGTCATTCAGTGACACTGTCAGAAATGCATTCCATACATTTTACTACCTGTCTCTACCCCTTCCATTTATATTAGAACCCAACCTACCCCTTCCATGAATATTAGAACCACCTCTACCCCTCCCATGAATATTAGAACCACCCCTACCCCTTCCATGCACAAAAGAACCCCACCTACCCCTTCCACGTATATTAACCCCCCTACCCCTTCCATGCATATTAGTACCCCCTAACCCCTTCCATGCATATTAGAACCCACCCTACCCCTTCCATTCATATTAGTACTCCCCTAACCCCTTACAACAATTTTTCTACCTCCTCCTCCTCCCATCCATATTAGTAGCCCACCTAAACCCTTCCAATTATTTTTCTACCTACCCCTCTCCCTCTATCCTTATTATGATCCACACTAGCCATTGCAAACTGGTCTCTGAACTGTTGAAAACATGAAGATTGCTTGCATATCCTTTTTAGTCACTATGGGCTTGGGTTGGGAAGTGACATAACCCCAGGTGCTATATTTAGACCCCTAAAGGATTTGATACTAATTCAACCTGCCCATTCTTATTAACCTTAAGACCAGCACCATCTCGACCTTGTGTGCCACTTATTTACCGGCTCATGCCTGGATCAATTTAGACCCTGAATCTCACGTGTGTAATTAGACAAGTTGTGCAGGCAAATTCATAGCTTATGAAGTGAAACAGTATGATATGATGTACAGATTTTTGGTGTTAACTGTTATTTTTGGTCCACCTCTATATTTTTTCCAGTATTGTACTCCTACATTATAGCTCAAATTGCATACAGTTTTCGCAAGGACTAATATGTGGTCAGACCTCTAAAATTAAAGAGCCATGCATGCTACAGCACTCTTGTAAGTGTAAAAAAAGATTGGACAGTTGCTCCAGGTCCACAGAGGCGGCAGCACTGCACCTTGTATATTGCCTCATAAGCTCCTCAATCAGATAAATCTATATGCTGAATGTCCCCATACCCTTTGTGGAATGCTTCCAGGAACCACACCCCTGCTTAAGTAGTTCAACGACAATCCACGCCCTCTCATCCAGTGACGCTTGAACTAGCCATCACTTTCACCTGGCACCCCCAAGCTGGAACTTAAGCACATCTCTATGTTTCTC